ATTATTTACTGTTAAGTGTTACAAACAGCTGCTGTAATAAATGTCATAATTACAGGAAACATCTATTTTATACATTTGATAATAAATCAGATGTACACTTCCTATATTGTAACAAATGTAATGTAAAGTTATTCCTTTTCTGGGTTAGTGTATCAGCAACTGTACCTGTGGTAACCACCTGCTTTCATACCTTACACACACACACACACACCAGAGTCAGGTTGCATATACCAACGTAACAATACTGCAATGTAAACCAACGGACACCTTAGGTGCCTGCGTACAGCGTCCATACTGTACACAGCACAGCAGTGTCCTAGCAAAGCAAAAAATTCAAAACAAAACAACTTTATATAATAACACTTTTTGAACATATAATGGTCCATTTAATTTAATGAGAAAGAACGTGCCATACAACAAGAGATAAACTGAAATATAAACTCACTTCCTACAAGGTTGTTTTGTCAATCTTTTTGACTTTGAAATAGAGTTTAGTTGTTTTTTTCAGATTGATGTATGTATGTTTAGTAAGTAAATTAATGAAAAGCACATAACAAGGGTTCATTACATTTTGCTGTTATCAGTGGTCGTTGGTCTTCTGATTCTTCTGAGGCGATTATAGTTTCTCTTTACAACTTTACTTCGTCCCAAAACACTAAACTAGCTGATACGATTTTCACACTGCTACAGTGAAATACTGTCTTTTCCTACTTGAAAGCTTCCAAGCGGCTTTACGATCACAGCTGGCTATTCATGAGCGAACATTAAATCTGAAACCATTATAATATATGGCCAGAATAAAAGTGGCTCATGTGTGTGCAACTCCGTATGTACACTTGTTCTATGTTGGTGTGTTTGTTTGAGTGCGTACGTCCTCCTGTCGTCCTTCTGTCCAGAACAACAGTGTGGGATCTTGGCACTGTCAGCCAACCGGGTCACTAATGACCACATGGCCAATTAGTAGAGCTAAACAGCAACCAGATTCCCTCCTCCTCCACAACATGAAACACAACAAGCATTCATCCAGATCACTGACGGGAAAACTATGAGAAAAATCTGGGCTAAGAGGCCTCTGTAGCAGCAGACAAAGACGTGCATCATGCCAGCAGGGATGCCATTTCTGTCAGTGAACAACCAGTTGTACATATTTGTGTCTTTCACTGGCCTCTGTGTGTTTCTGCAGCTACACAAACAACGCTGCTCAATAAAAGGAGAAAATGGACCAAAGGAAAGACAATATTACTAGTAGTACCGATGACTACAGTACTGTTACTGTTGCTATTGTATTTTTACACACTGGTGTATGAATACAAAACAGAGATAGTGTTTCAGAGCGTCAGAAAACTACGGCTGACGTCACAGGAACGATGTTAATTTTGATTTACACAGTGTGGAACCAGGAAATCTTTAGTTTTTGTTTGATATATTACTTTTAATGAGTTGCAAGCATGTTTAATTTATAAAATTAACAAATGCAAACGTGGAAGTGAGTAATGTAAAGCAAAAACAGCTTCGCCACCATGGAGACAATCTCCAGCGGACAGCGGTGACGTTATAATGAACCAATCGTGATAATGTGAATCGGTTTTAACGGATTAGTCGACTCATCGTTTCAGAACTACTTCTGGAGAGAAGGCAAATCTTCCTTTGATCTAAAGCTGGTTGTTGGTTGAAGTATATAGTATGTTTATATGTAAAACTGAAGTGACTGTAAACTGTATACAGAACTTTGTTGTTTCGTTGAAATTCTTGTTTCTTGTTCACTTTCTAACCCATTTGTCTTTGTCATTTCAGCTCCCGTTTTTTTTGTCTTTAGGAAGTAAACACGCGGTATTTTTCTAACCTACAGCCAAACTATGATATCACAAATGTGTGTGTGTGTGTGTGTGTGTGTGTGTGTGTGGGTCAGGAGTCATGGTGAGTCACACCAATGACAAATTCAAAAAGCAGAATTAACATCACTTGACAAGTATGGCGCCCCAATTTAGCACACATCCGCATGTGTATGAGTGTACACCTGGAAATGTGTGTATTTGTGAAACAGAGTGAAAGCAGGTCGACATTAACACCTAAGCAATGTAACTGTGAACAACACTTCTTCGCAGACAGCCGTTACGCCTCGCAGTGACTAAGAGACACATGATCTGACACCTTGACTCACATGACAATCGTAATTTTCCTCCTTCCTTCGTCCGGACAGTAAAAGATGCAGTTTGTTGGCACGCAGACATACATACTTGTTTAAAATATATATATAATATAATATTATAATCGTTGTTTACAGCATTATGCCCTTTCTGATGCAACCTTCCTTCGTTTATTCAGTATTGGGACGAACCACCAACCCCGTGATCAGTAGACGACCCGCTCTACCACCTGAGCCACAAACACCCCAAAATACTAAAAGAATAAATAAATTAAATACTGTACGTATTATTTTTTAATATTTCTGTTTCTACTACAGTTAGTCAATTAACCAATCACTAGTTTGACTCATTTACTAACCAGAAACATGCCGAACATCTGCTCGTTCCAGCTTTGCAAGGGTAAGATTTTTGTGTTGGGGGGAAAAGAAAAAAGGATTTGAAATATTACCTTTCGCTCTGAGAAAGTGCGACAGAAAGTTTTTACTATTATTTACCATTTTAGAGACAAAAAATAATCCACAGACTAATTAATATCATGAGTTGATACAACCAACATTGTGCTGCAGATATAAATGTCTGATGAGGACAGAAACTCACAGCAAGCGTTGAGACCAACATGTGTATACTGAATACAAACCTCAAACACGATGAAAACCAGTCCTATCGTATAACCAGTGCTCTGTAGACAGCCGACAGCCTGAGCAGCACGTGCATCATCCACAACAAGGCTTCTTCCAACACTAAACAGTGCAGAGGCTTCCTTCGTAGTGCAGCAGCCACAGGGAAACCCAGAGGGAACCTTCATAAAGCATCCATTAACACCGAATGCACTTCCATTAACTCTAATGTGTTGCTGGTGTCATGTGAACTCCTCCCCTGATCTCCGTGTAGATTCTTCATGTCTGAACTTAAACCAAACGATTACAAGGACAATCACAATGAATAAACCCCATTAGACTCTTTCCATGTGTATTTTTTGTTGTTGTACGGAAATTTCCAGGGTTACTTTATAAGTTTTATGTCTTTTCCTGACTACACAAAGTAGATGTTGTCTGAATACTTAAAAATATATATATATGTTTTGTTTAAACAGACCTCCAAACAGGAGGGAGGCAGGGACGCAATCCAGGACTTCAGCCATCTGTTACTATGAACGGCAATAATCTTTCAGCTATAAAACAGGTTTGACAAAAGAGGCAATACGACAATAAACAACGAACACTGCCACATGGTTTATGTGTTTGGAAATTAAGACAACGCACGCTAAAGGAAAACGTCATCAACAAATCATTGTAGCAGCGTTTGTGGTAAGAATTAATTTGCTCCAAACGTTAAAACATGTGTGATTCTGTCTCTAGCTTCAATCATTAAGGGATGAACCAATCACAGCCGGCTTACCTTGGGAAGGTATGCGGCGTTTCGTATCGTGTCCACCATCTCCTGGCCCTCGGGGTGCACGGCAGCCACATGGGACCACATCCTCTCCCAGGTTACGCCCTCGATGGGAAAACCGGTCCTGTTGACGTAGAACAGAACCCCTCCATCCTTCTCCTCTTCCTCCCCGGGGGACCTGGAGCTGTTGTTAGGGGGGGAGGCGGAGGAGTCCTCCTGGGTGCTGCACCGGAGGAGGCAGTGTGAGCTGGTGCTCTTGGACCGGCCGTGCCTGCTCAGCTTGGTCGAGGAGGTGCCGGACCGGCTCGGGGAGTTGGGGCCCGTCATCGATTCCCAGGAGGAGGAAGAGTTAGGGGAAGGCAGTCCTCCTCCAGCTACAAGAGCTCGTACTTGTTTGTCAGTGTTGGACGGTACATGTTGATCTTAAAGGGGAAACCTAAAAAAAAAAAAAACACAACTTCAACAATTTCCTATTTTGGAAGAGGAATGATGAAGCCTTGACAACATGACAACAAAACCCTATATAGGGAGGCAAAATCCTCCTCAATGTAGCAAACTAGAGTGATTTATTTCTTAAAAAATACTATAATAAATACAAAAAAGGCATAAATATGAGAGTAAAATCTAAAGATTGTGTAACTACAGAAAGCATAGGTCCAAAATAACATCTTACTGTAGCACATTTGGTCACAGACAAATCTGAATACACGATAAAACTCAACACTGAGAATCACACAAGAAGTACAAAGAGGTTATTATAAAATCTGATGCCAAAAGACTTAACAAATATATATATATAAACTCATTAATGCGTATTAAACACATGCTGGTGGCTTTTTACATTAACAGCATAAAACTACACAATTAAAAACACAACTCTGTCACAGGAAAATGTCTTTAAAACTCACCTGTGAGGACAAAAGACACAAGTTCATCTCGACATCAGGGATTTGTTTCGTTTTAAGTGCATCCGCTGAAAACGTCCCCACCGTTATTAATCCAAACCGTACCGGGGCTCCGATTTCAGATAAACGACGGCTCCTGCGGTTTAAAAGGCATTTGGCTCGAAACACACACAGTGAGACGAGGCAGGTCCCATTCATAACAAGGCGACGTTGTCCACCGCAGGCTGTGAAGTCTTGTTTTGGTTCCGAGGCTTTGTAACTTCACCTCTTCTTGTGTCTGTCAAGCCACCAGCAGCTAACAACCGTTGGCCTGGCAACACGGAAGATTCCACCAAAGTAAAAGCGGCCCGTTTGTCGATCTTGCGTTTATGAGGAACGAGTGCCGCGAAAAATCGCAGCGTACGCATAAACCCATCACTTATTCGCCTTTATCGATTTTAAGCGCGTCAGTAAAACTACACTATCGGGAAACTCAACCAAAACGCATCGTGTTCTCCTCGGAGCTTTTTATTTTGAAAATACAATCCCGGAAGTCGTTACGTTGTGCTCGCTAGCTGACGCTAGTCCTCCCTTTCGGTCTCACAGCACCGCGGGGGCCGTCGCCTCCCACCACCCTCGTCTGGGAAAACCACCTCCTCAGCAGCATGCACGGCGCCTCGGTATCAGCTGTCCCCCCAGAAAGTCCGACTTCATGTCGATAAAGAAGGCTCCATCAATCCCTCACATGATTAAATCATTCAGGAGGATACAACGGTCCTCTACTAGCAGCTGCCTACTGTCCTCCCGTATCCCCGCCTCCGTTGCGCGTCACCGACCATCGGCGCCTTCCCATTGGTGGAGGCGACAAAGAGGGGCGGGCTTAAGAGTACGCGCTACCATATTTGGAGCTGGCGGCCCTCTCTGATTGGTGGGTTTTGATGGACGAATGCGACAACAAGTGATATATCTGCAACAAATGGGATTTTCTGCCCCTTGTTGCAACTGTTGATTTTGTACATTTTGTGCATTTTCAGGTGCTGGTGCTGGAAGGTTAAATCAGAACTGAACGGAGTAGAATAGGATACCAGAGAATTTAATTGAATTGAATGGGGTAGAATAATACAATACAATATAATACACTGCAATACAATTCATCTTAGTTTACAACAAAAGTCTATCCACAGCTCACAAAATACAGACAGAATATCATTTTCTTTTTTTTTTCAATTATGATTTGTATAATTTCCTTCACATCCAAAAAGGCTTTGAACTATCACCCAAAAGTACATACATCACAGTACAATAATGTGCCCGACAGCAAGTTTATTGAGCAAAATGTATTATATGTATCATGGACAAAGCCATATGAATGTTGGACTATTACTTTTACATCGTGGTAAACTGACTAGTACAAGCCTACATCTCCCCCTTCTGGACAAAAAGCTCTTTCCAGCAACAAAGGAAATAAATGTGGATACTTGGTTATTTTAAAAATACAACTGCATGATTATAATACTAGAAAGTAACGTGACATAAAGAATGATGAATAAATAAAAACTGTCTAAGATTTGGATTGCGTAGACAATTTCTCCACAAGAATCAATACCGTACCATGAAAGCAAAGTGAAATTATTGAATTCACTCATAGAATAAAACCTGATTTCTGTAAATTGTTGTCAAACCAGAAATAAATAAATGATAAAATAATGTAAAATGAATGTTATGATATTAAATGGAAATATACAGTGTTACATTTTGGTAATTGATGGTATAGCATAGAGGCTGCTGGGATTAGAAGAGGCTCTAGCAGAAAAGGAAATAGTTTTCACAGTTCTGTATGTCAGTGCTTTATCACCACCCCGATCATAAAGACACACGTGAAGCAGTACAACACATTGACGTGGACATGGCACGGCATAGTTCAACACAGTGAGGCAACATGATGAAAGATAACACAATGGAACGTCATACAATGCAATAAAACACAAAGCAATGCCACACACACAATCACAATCCTTAACCATATGATTATATGGGATTTAAGGGTAAAATTTAGATTTTTTTTTCATATATGAACATTTTCTTCCCATATTTACTACCAATACTATTATGACAAACAGCTGTTAACGTAGATTATACAGATCCAAACCTTTATTCTAGTCTATCACATTTCATATTTTAACTTCTTTTTCTTTAGCTGGGAGGCCATGTTATACATCTTGTGTCTGTCTTAAATTGACTGTTTACCGTGCATATTAGTAGCCTGTCCTGGTTTTGGTCTTGGCCTGATCTTATTCTGGACATGATGTTTATATGGAACATGAGAAGCCCTATGTGTGTAATCATTACAGTAGCCAAGGGTTTGATTGTCTGCCTGCAGGTGTGTCTTTATTTCTCACCATCTCAGCCACTGTGCTCTAAGTAAGTATGTTCAGAAACCAGGATCAGGTGTTTATGTGCCACAGTACCCTGGTTTCTACTCCAGGTTTCTTAAAACCCAGAATAAGAGCTTATGCAGCTTTGTGAAACCAGGATATGATGTTTTATATTCGCATAACAATGCTACAAAAAAACAAAAAACAGATCATAACAGGATACTAGTGGGCATCTGGGTTATATTTTGGGGATCAAAGAGATTTAACTAACTCATGGTACTGGGTGTAGTGTGTGATCTCACCGTGTCCTGACTGGTTTCTGGAGCAGACTGAGTCACTGCAGGGTTTGAGGTCAGTCCCTGGACAAATACAGTCCAGTTACAGTTTTCAATAGATTTTTCTCCCAAATATTCCTCTCAGCTCAATTCTAGATTTTTTTAGGAAATCCGTCATTTCAGTAGTATCAATATGATACAGTGAGTTTACTCCAGAGCCACATTTAGTAATTGCAAAGAAACTACCACAAACACTGTTTTCTAAAAGTCACAACTGTATAAACATTTGATCATTAAGGTTTAAAACTCACAATGTGTTCATCCATCTGTGTTCTGTTCCCTGAAAAGACAAAGGAGAGCTGTCTTTAGCTTCCACTGTGAAAATCCAGGTTTATCCAAACGTCTTGTTTCATCTGTGAATGTTCTCACCTTTAGTTTTTGTCCATATGTTGACTGCCACAGCAATTGTTATGAGTGCTGCTAAACCCACAGACACAATGATGAACCTCCACCAGTCTGGAAGAGGAATAAAAACATTAAAACATATTTTGATTTTCTGTTCTGTTAAAATAATGCAACTACATATGAGACATTCCATGAGATTCTTGCACTAGTTTGGTTGTAGATGTAAGTTTCGCAGCCACTTTATTTTCTCCTTTGCAGTTGGGCTGCAGTTTTCAAAATGCTTCTTTTCTTTTTTCTCTACCAAATTCAATCCAATCTCTATGTACAAGAGATTAAGAAAATACCAACAGTCACAGTGAAGACAATTATTGTGATGAATAAATAAGATAAATAAGTTAGCAACAACAAGGTTTGAGGAACAAATGTGTAAATAAGATAATATCTCCACCCACAGCCACTTCTATACTATATATATAGAGAGAGATAGGGAGAGAGAGAGAGAGAGAGGAGAGAGAGAGAAACAGAGGAGAGTGCGAGAAAGAGGGGAAGGGAGAGAGAGAGAGAGAGGGAGAAGACAGAAACAGAGGAGAGAGAGGGTTAGAGAGAGAAAAAGAGAGAGAAGAAAGAAACAGAGGAGAGAGAGAGAGAGAACAGAGGAGAGAAAGGATCAGAGGAGAGAGAGCGGGATAGAGGGAGAGTGTGAGGAACAGAGGAGAGAGAGAGGGTTAGAGAGAGAGAGAGAGAGAGAGAGAGAGAAAGAACAGAGGAGAGAGAGAGGATCAGAGGAGAGAAGAGAGAAACAGAGGAGAAAGAGAGAGAGGGAGAGAACAGAGGGGAGAGAGAGTGGGAGAAGACAGAAACAGAGGAAAGAGAAGAGAGAGGAAGAGAGAGGAAGGGAAGGAGAGAGAGAGAGAGAGAAATGGGGGGAGAGAGAGGGAAAGAGAGTGAGAGAGAGAGAGAGAGAGAGGGAAAGATAATGAGAGAGAGTGAGGAATGGAGAGAGAGAGAGACAGAGAGAGAGAGAAAGGCAGGGCGAGAGAGAGAGCTAGAGAAAGAGAGAGAGAGGAGAGAGAAAGGGAGGCAGAGAGAAAGAGAAGACAGAAACAGGGGGAGAAACAGAAAGAGAGAGGGGGAGGGAGGGAGGGAGCGAGCGAGAGAGAGAGGAAGAGAGAAGAGAGAGAGAGAGAGGAAGGGAAGGAGAGTGAGAGAGAGAAATGGAGGGAGAGAGAGACACTACCTTGTTGTTCCTCTTCAGTCTCCACTAAGATACTTCCTGTTTTTATGACATGACAAAACACAACAAACGGTGATAAAATACCTCATGTTACTATCTGAAGAGAATAAATGAGAAAGAACAAAGGATTAAAATTAATGAAATAAAACCAACTGTACCTGTTGTCTCACATGAGGACTGGGGACCGACATCACACAGCAGTGTTTGTCCTCTCTTATCATCTGTCACATTACACTTGAGTAACTCATAATAGTTTGACTTCTGATTGAGACGAGTTGGAAATGTCACCCTTGATGAACAGGTAGAATCTAATATCTCAGTGTCATTCTTATTATCATCATACAGCCACTTCACTGTGTGTCCACAGCCTTCATATGTCAACACAGCGCAGAACAAGACGACTGTATCATTGTACTGTTGTTTCTCAACTGGTGAAGATGGAGATATTGTG